TGATAAAAGTGGGTAACTTTGTGAAATCGAGGTTGGAATCAAAATTGAACGAAATAATCAACTGCACATTAAATACTCGGACAATAAGTAGAGTATACGGTGAATGTATACAAAACCACATTCGCTTACCACTAGTGGACATTTCGAACAGTGGTCCAACAAAATCCCTATAGTAAAACAGAGGGTTATCGGGAAATAACATGACAAACGTCGCACCATGTTTGGTTTAAACCCTCAAAGCCATTTTTGAGTTGGATCGTACTCAGCGATTGTGCGATGGCCAAGTCACTTTTAATGTCTTAGTGGATAACCTGACCACGCGCAAATTTAAAATATATCACCGAGCATAACGAATCAGCAAGCGATCGGCCTTGTTTAATCCACCTATAATCACAATCTGTGCCTTCATTACTGCCGAAACCGTGGTCTGTGTATCACTTGGTCTGGGTTGTCGGGAGATGTACGAATGTATTTGCCAAAACGACCCAAACTATCTCACGATTGGTTGGTCAGACGGACGAATAGAATGTGGGCACCAGACACACTTCGAGTTTGTTGGTGGAAAACGGTTGCGAATGGAGAAATTCTTTGTAGGTGATCGAGGCATTAGCTAGTAGGGTAGGGTCTGCGGGACGCAAAAATGTAGAAAGGGATTACCAGGTGGATAGCGTGCGTGACAGCAGTGAGCGCTGCAAATTTAATTATCCCTTGCCTCTAACTGTGAACCAAAGGCCACGACCAACTTGCTTGTCGTACCCAGTAGATAATTAAGAAGGGCTTCGGCCAATGGGTTGCATCAACTCCGAAGGAACTGAATCGGGTGTGGGGGTGGTTAGCCAGGCTAATTTCTCTGAGGCCTTCTGTTTGTTGAAACTGGAGCTTTTGGTGACCTCTGGCAGGGCCGGATGTCGCTGTCAGGTGACGTGTAAGCCCTCTCTTCACCCTCCCCCAAGTTATCTCCGTGTTTGTTTTGATTGAGATCTTCACAAAGGCCATTGTCCGCCCAAATCTTCCAGCCGATTGTTTGAGCATCGTTTTGTCATGAAGGGAAGCGGTGTTTTTCGGCCCCCCCCAGCCCTCTCGTCTTTGTCCAGTCGCTTTGCTATTTTTAACCTCGTTTAATGACTACGTTTTTCTGATTAAATGCAACCCGTGTTTACTTCTATGCCTCCTGCTGAAGCGAGAATTCGGGAGAGACAAGAGTTGTCGATTCCGCCTGTTTCAGATCTCGTCAAACTGCCCCTAATTCCTCCGTGTCTGTTCTCTTCTCTTGCAGAAAGTCACTATGATTACGCACCTCAAGACAATCCGCATTCAGTCAGTCGAAACACGGGTTGTGAGTATGGCTGCTGTTTCACAGAGCAGGACCTCTTAATCGATGTGCTTTCGGACGAGTCAACTCCACCGACGTCGACGTCTGCCGCAGTGACCTCGAATCAGGGCACGTCAGTTGCACTCGGACAGGAAGAAGCGAAGGAGGAGGAGGAGGAAGAGGAGGAGGAGGAGGATTACTTCAGTTTGGCGGCACGCTGTTTGCACCAACACCTGTCGGACAGTCTCGGCGATGCGCCGTCCTCCCACACCTCGCATTCCCCTCGACGATCGAGCACTTCGGCCGCCACCGCGTCTCTGCGACACACTGCCTTCCTCTCCGCCATCACCGCAACTGTCGTTGGTCTTCTGGACTGAACTACACGCATCCGTTTTCTATGTACATAAACCGTTTTGTGTTTCATTGTGTACAGAAAAACTCCCGCCCATCCTCAGCTAGAGTTCCCGTTCCCCCACCCCACCCCACCCCTCCCTCCCTCCCACCACCTCCTACCTTACCGCGTTTTCTGTAGTCTTTCCTCGTCTTGTTCGCTACGAAGGGAAGGAAAGAGAAACAGCTCCAATGTGCCTAGTCTCCTCCAGCTCTGCCCGCCTCCTCATCCCCTCTGCGCTTTTCATCACGGTAGATTTCGACGACTGGGGCATCTTCCAACATCGCCTTATGCAACTAGAGCATAATACTAATGATACTGATATGTGTAATTATGAGTACAGGTAGATTCGCCCCGCCTCGATCGTGTTGATATACTGGTGTAACTCATCCAACCATCCCACCCACTCTCACGACCCAAATCTTCCTCTAATTCTGTACTTCTTCTTCTTCTTTTACCTCAAGTGACGCCGTGATTCAAGAAAACGAATTAGACGTGTTCTTTTGAGTGATTTCCCTCTTGTCCCTACCTCCGATTGAGGTCGCCTTTGGTGGGCTCTTATTGGCCAACGCCCCGGCACTATTGACACGCACACACACGACTGTGATTGGGGGAAATAGGCGGACCAGACTCTTTAAGATTTCGGGGTCCTTTGTCAGCGCCGTAGGTACATCTCATGTGCTCGCTTACTCCGTGTTTGTCGCCTAGCAACCAGACGTTTGTGGTGTCATTAAAAGTCAATTTTCCAAAAGTTCTGATTAGGCCACAAACGTTGTTATGATGACTAGAAAAGTCTAATGACCAAGACGTGATCCTTGACAAGCGTCAGTTATCCGTTTTGGGCTCAATAACTATCCAACAGAAGCCCCTAGGTCAACTAAACTTCTCGATTGGGAACTTGTACGACATTTTCAGCGGTTACTCCCATGAATGCGCTTCCGTATAGATAGGACACCGACAGTCGACTGCCGTTGCATGGCATCCTTACTAGTGCGATAAAGGGGACTTAAATGTGTAATGTGTGTAGAATAATCTTGCACTTCGTAAGCTATTGTGGGCTGCCTGGGAACTCGTTAACTTCTACAATTCTTCGTACACTGAAGAGAAGCTGCATTCAATGACATGCAGACTTTAATAACAAACTCGATTGGCCAATGCTGTAACCTTGGCGCTCTTCGTGACGTGCTGCCGTTACATTGGCGCATTGGATACCACGAATTCTGCTAAAACTTAATCAAGACTTTAGTGTAAATTGGTCAAATAAAATGTTTCTTTTTCAGGGTAATAAGTAGTGAAGCAACATTGCGAATAGTTTCTGATATACAGCCACCGATCACTCAAAAGGCGTGATCCTGATGCTGAGACGTGAGTTTATCACCTCCTATCGATCGGGAGCGTCCCGTGACCTTGGGATGGGGCAACTCGCGCTACATTGTAGCTCTTCGGGGTAGGAGACACTAACAGTACATTAGAAAAATTCAAACGCGGTGACAGCAGGAACGACTGTTTAGTAATCCTATGTGTAGCAATTTGTCTCACAAAAATCAATAATCGATTGTCTGAACATCATTCATCAACACGAGCGAAAGACAATGGATCTTCAGGCTTAACAGCGGACGACTTTTCTTGAATTTGGCCCTTGATGTCGAGAAAATTTGCTGAAATCAGTGTGATTCTCCGTGACTCGGTGTGATTATCCCACCCCAGATCAATGACTCATTCCGATAGGGATAGATTCGAGTATGTCCCCACCTCAAAACCGTGTAGGCCTGGTTCGTTCACCCCACACCCTCAGAGATCCTCTTATTTCCCCCAAAATGGGCCGCTGATGTGCCACTCGCCATCAACTCAATGTCTCTGAAGCCCCCTTTCAATCACCAAATTTTTTCAATTGGTTTTTTTTTCAATTGAACATAAGACGTGTCCCACTTTGTTGCGGCCATGACAGCACCTTACCGACATGTTGTATGGTAGATTCAAGCTAACCTATTTGTATCGGAGATCTGTGCTTAAACGGATCGGGAACTTTAATCTCAGTAGCCAATGGTTACTTAAAAGCAAGTTTCAAATTTTTGCACCGAATTTGTTTTAATTACCGTGGGAGGCACATTTCCCGTGAACAGAAGATGAACCTCGGACCAGTACGCGAAATTTACTTCTCTGCCTGCCATCATTTGCTTCCGTAGAGAGGAACAGAGGTTTAGAGTAGTGTCAGGGACACTAATTAGGACGTTAAGGAGGTTTTTCTAAAAAATGAGGACTATCGATGTGTAAAAGAGGTGTCTGCTTGTAAAATAAGTAAAGATACGAGTCCGCCCACTTTTTGTCTAGTCATTATTAATAAAATTTCGGCAAAATAAGGACATTTGAATCAGTTTTGTATTATCCAAAGCTATTTAAGATCCCCCACTCATAATTCCGCCAACCTTCTGAATAGTTTTGCTAAAAATCTCGTGATGCTCTCGTTTCCATCTTTTGAACCCCTTCCATCGACTCTAAATATTGATTCACAGTTTCTTGGTCGTATTTCGTTTGCACGACCACCTCGTTCGAAGTCCAAGTTGGCAATTTTAAGTGTGGCGAACCACTTCCACCAAGGGTAACCAAACACAGAAGGCCGTTTTTGGAAATAATTGAATTCTTAACTCAGTCATTTGTAGGTGGGGTTAATGCGAATTTTACTCATTCCACAAAAACCGCTACACCTTGGCTTGTGCCGATCAGCAAGCCTGAACTAATGATTGCTCGATCGATAATCCTGAATGCACTCAACGTAGCGACGGGAATCAACTTGCTAACAGGAATTTAATCAATTGCTTTGAGTGCACTTCATGGAACGATGACGAGCCCTGCTGTAACTCCTGACGCCTTGCCTGCGTCACTGAACCTCTGCTTCGTGGGTGAATGATGAGCTTTATTCAAAACTCGCGGCGCCTTGGCACACAATGCATTTAAACAACAGCGTGTTTTCGGCCACCGGCCAAATTTTCGCGACTGAAATATTAATGACCTCGGTGGCGAAAACAAAACAGCAATTATCCGGCGAGTCAGCCTGTCAAGAGAGTGGCTATGCACAAAGGCGAAGCTGCTAATCACGCGTAAACAAGCTGCGTTGTTTTTTCGGGCGATGAGAATCGTTTCGGCTTGAGCTGAGCTGTGGCTTGCGGGCTGAGACTTTGGGGGGAAAAATACCCAATGGAGCAAGTCAACGCGTGGCTTGTTATCAAGCTTAGACGCTGTGGCGCGTTGGTTGGATCATCCAATAGGAAACCAACAGGCAATTGCACGCACTCCTTCATGATGAAATCTACCTGATGTAAGACTCTCATTTGTGCTCAATTTGGAGAAATGGAAACTAAAATTTCGGCCCTAAACGAAACGATTTTGCCCCAACAAGTGCCCTAGTGAACAAGGACAAATGCACTAAAAAACTAGCAAAAGCGAGTTTAATAATCATTTTAGTGGGCACTCAGGAGCTTATAAAATCCATTTGCTGAAGCAAGACGCAAGGTTTTGTTCAGTTTTCGGACCGCTCTTGCTTCAAATCGATTTTATCGATTTAAATGAATCAAAGAGCATTTGAATTTTCAGTTAGTCGCGTTGATTCACTTCCAATAACCCGGTCGTCGCAGCCTCACCCACACGGCCCCGTTTTCACGGCGTGCCCGTCAGTCAAGCGGGGCCGCCTGCTCACTCACCCCCTTGCATGCACCACCACCACCACCCGCTTCATCCATCCACCCTACTGTATTAGACAACAGAAACACGAGTCTGCGCTGCCTCTAATCCACGCAAACGAAAACAACTTCATTTTGTTGTCTAGTGCATGGTTATGCCTCGTCCTCTCCGGTGCTCCTAATCTTTGTGGGTACTCGGGGTAGCTTAAGCAACGCATTTATTAAACCTATAAGATCAGTCTCTAAGGCTCAATTCAAATTCGGGGTAAATAAGTAAATGGTCAGTTGCCTGTTAAGCGGTAAGCTATTCCCGCAAGGCAGTATTTCCTGGTGGTGTTAGCCAGCGTTGGTTTTTGGTAACTAGTTACATAGTGTCTCCGAAGGTCCCCGTGTTCGTGTGCCATGGTCAACCCAGCTGAAACACGGCGGCCTTGAAACCGTTACTTTAGTAACGACCTTGATGCAGGCCCCAGCATGTGGCTTTGTATCACGCAAGGACCGCTACCGAGACACCCTGGAAACCGCACCAGGGCCGACAATATGCGTTGACACGGCCAGACGGAAAGGAGTAGAAATATGCAGATGGCGCGTAGCCCGACTTATTTAATGATGCAGTGGCGGTGTGTGTGTGTACAGGATAACAAGTGCGTTTATATGGCTTCGCTAAGCATCGATCCTTGAGTGAGTGGAGTTACATGGAGCGCATTCACGAAAATCGATTGGATCGTGTTCGCTTACGCTTGCTGCTTGCCACAACCGTTTACTCTCTGTGCGCATGCTACCCGCGGTTAGTGACCAATAGCGTGGGGGAACTTAGATAACGTACAAATTACGGAATGGTCAGGGTAGTTCAACCGATAGCAAAAGAAGTACATGTACTGAAGTGTGTGAGAGCAGATGGTCTTCCATGGCTGAACTGTGGGGCAGTACGTCGCAGACTACAGCAACCACATTAATGCACGGTAAACCAATACGCCTCACTACAACCTCCCACGATACCGGTGACCAGTGAAATTTTTGATTTCGGTGTAAAGTGGCCTGACTATTGGACATTCGTTACAATTCCACACGCAAACCACCAAAAAGGTATCGCCTGGCAATCCTTCGTGCTAACAGTTAAGCCTAAGTGCAATTAGCCTGGATCGAACGGCGAGCCACGTATTTAAACGAATTGGCTGGTGGGTGTGTTGGTAATGGTGGAAAATCACGTTTGGGAAGTAAGTGTAGGCCAAACATGTTTTCGAGGGTACGTAGACTAAAACATTTTTGCCTTCTTGCAATAAAGAAACAGCGATTACATCACTAGGAAGGGTGTTTGGAGTTTTTTCAGTTGGAGACCCGAAGTGGGAAATGCAAAAATCACGTCAACTTTCATTGCGAGAGAGCAGAACTCGGTGGGCTGAAATTGCCTCTATTTTAGCGAACACGAAACCTTCCTTAAACTGGTCTCAAAATTTTACACTTACTGGCTAAAAACTGGCCTGACAACACAAATTCTTGTAAGATATTGGAGGCTAAATCATCTCCATCAACTTTTCTAACAGGATTTTCACAAGACATAATTTTTGACAATTAATATTTCCTGGGTTCGTAATTTGTCGCCTTGTTTACGCATTTTGCCATAGTAGCAAGTTACTTTAACTTTCAACAATTATATAAACGAGTAACGA